TGCCAACTTGTGAAAATTGTCTTGCTGGAAAGATTACGCGTAAACCATTTGGGAAGGCCAAAAGAGCTGAATTCCCACTTGAATTAATCCATTCTGATATTTGTGGTCCAATGAATATGAGGGCAAGGTCTGGTGCTGCATACTTCATTACATTTATTGATGATTTAACGCGCTTTGGTAATGTCTATTTGATTTTTCATAAATCTGAAGCACTTGAGTGCTTTAAAAGATATATGAATGAAGTTGAAAATCAATTAGATAAAAGTATAAAGGTTTTAAGAACCGACCGAGGATGTGAATATTTGTCAAAATAATTTGAAGAATTATGGACTGTAAAGGGCATTATCAGACAGTTAACTACTCCTTATACACCTCAACAAAATGGTGTAGCTGAAAGAAGGAATAGAACATTATTGGACATGATAAGATCAATGATGGCGCGGGCAAATTTGTCTATCTCTTTTCGGGGAGATGCATTATTGACTGCGGCCTACATATTGAATAAAATACCTTCTAAATCAGCATCTTCCACTCCTTATGAATTTTGGACTGGTCATAAAACAAACTTGAATGATCTACGACCTTGGGGTTGTGCTACATATATTAAAGATCGTTTTGGTGAGTTTGGTAAACTAAGTCCAAAAGGAAAGAAATGTATCTTTAGTAGATACTCAGAACTCTCCAAAGGGTATGTGTTCATTGATGAATTAGAGGATGAAAGTATTACAGAAATTATATCACGAGATGACAGATTTTTGGAAAATAATTTTCCCAATAAGGGTGAAATAAATGAAGGTGAGCCTCTCTACGAAATGTTGAATTCAGAAGATCAGATAATGTCATCAGACATACTTGATAGATCAATGGATCAAGAAATGGTTCCCGATCCAAGTGGGAGTTTTGAATCCCAAAATCCAATAGAGGAATCTGAACTTCGATTACATAAGAGTACAAGAAAAGGTGTACCTAAACGATCTTATGAGATTGAGGATTATGTTTTCTTGGTATTTCCGACAGAATTGGATGAATCTAATTCTGTGACTGAGGCTTTATCGAGCCCTAGAAAGGATAAATGGTTAAAAGCGATGAAAGAATAATTAGAGTCCATGAAAACCAATAAAGTCTGGGATCTAGTTGACCTTCCTCAGGGACGTAGAGCTATTGGGAATAAATGGATTCTCAAAGTTAAACACAAATCGGATGGGTCAATAGAAAGACACAAAGCACGATTGGTGGCAAAAAGTTTTACTCAAGAAGCTGGAATAGATTATGAGGAAACTTTTTCATCAGTTGTGAAGTTTACCTCTATACGATTACTTTTGGATATTTTTGCACGTTTAGATCTAGAATTACACCAAATGGATGTGAAAACCGCTTTTCTCAATGGAGAACTAAACGAGTAAATCTACATAGAACAACCTATAGGTTTCGTTGTTAAAGGCCAAGAAAAGAAAGTTTGTAAATTGAAAAGAACAATTTATGGCCTAAAGCAATCTTCAAGGCAGTGGTACCTGAGATTTCATAAGGAGGTGATTTCATTTTATTTCACCATGATCGATGAAGATCATTGCATCTATGTGAAAAAGTCCAATGAAAAGTTTGTAATTCTTTCTCTTTACGTGGATGATATTTTATTAGCCGAAAATAATATAGAGTATGTAAAAACTGTTAAGTCATGGCTTTCAAAATAATTTGACATGAAAGATATGGGTGAAGCAGACTATATATTGGGTGTTAAAATTCAAAGAGATCGTTCCCAAAAAAAAAAAGTTTTTGAGTCTATCTCAAGAAACATACATAAAAAATTTTTTGGAACACTCTCGAATGAATAGTTGCAAGCATATGGATACTCCAATAGCAAGAGGTGAAACTTTAAGCCTTAAAATGTGTTCAAAGACTGAAAAAGAAAAGGAAGACATGTCTCGAGTTTCATATTCTAGTGCTATCGGGAGTCTGATGTACGCTATGATGTGTACTCGTCCAGACATTTGTTATGCCGTAGGTCTGGTAAGTGGGTATCAATCTAATCCCGGAAGAGATCATTAGAAGGCAGTGAAGAGAATATTCCGATATCTGAAGGGAACTGTAGATTATTCACTATGCTATAGTGGATTTGATTTACTCTTGAGAGGTAACACAAATGCTGATTGGGCTGGTGATCGGAATGATAGAAAATCAATCTCCGGTTATGCTTTCTTACTTAATGGTGGTGCTATTTCATGAAAAAGTAAGAAACAAACTTGCACAACACTTTCAACCATGGAATCTGAATTCGTAGCTTGTGCATCTACAGTACAAGAAGCTGTTTGGTTAAAGAGATTCTTTGAGCATTTGAATGTTGCAAATAATTCTAAGGGTCTCATGACTTTATATTGCGACAGTCAGGCGGCCATCGCATATACAAAGGATCCTAAGTATCACAGTAAAACCAAACACATTGATATCAAATATAACTTTATGAGAGACATAGTAGCAAGTGGAGAAGTGAATTTACAATACATTCCTACTCGCGAAATGATAGCTGTTCTTTTTACAAAGGCCATATCTAGAGACCTGTTTGAAAAACATGTTAAGGCTCTAGGTTTGCGTAGGAAATGATGATATTTATGTTGTTATGATATTCTCATCAAAGTAAGACTATTGAATTTATGTCTCATATGCATGTGATAATGTTTTAGAAATAAAATTTATCGAACAAGTCGCGAGATTGGCTCTCACACACAAGCAATTGCCTCTTACGTCAGAGAACGTGAAGAGATAATTTTCACTGTCATGCTATGACTTGTTTTATAAACCAGACAAGAGTCTCTCTAAGAAAATGGGTTTGAGGATCACAGAAGAGAGAAACTCGGGTTAGACATCAAGAGGTGTCTAGACCAAGGTCTGTACGATGTTGGATAATTAAAAGAAATGAGACACATGCACCAGGATAAGGTGAAAACATCGTAGCACGTGTTTCATACCACGTGTGTTAAGCGACCAGTGGGTTAATGAAAGAATGGTTCCCTGCTTCTTCATTGTGTGAGACCCTGAAAAGTTAAAATTAACTTTTCATTGGAATACCCTTTGACCTTTTACTGTTTCTTGAAATTTCAATCAATGTTGCTACTTTAGCATGTCACTAATAGCCATGAATGATTCGGCAGTGCAGTGCATGTCTAGGAAAGTAGTTGATTTGGAACAAATAGATTCGAGTAGAAAGGGAAGATGATTAAATTAAAATAATCTGACTTGTGTACACAAGTCGGCTATTACGCTGACCATATAGATGTCAAGCGTAATTGTGTATATAAAGTTAAACTTGAACTCGAGTTCACCTCTTAAAGAGGATGAGAGATCAAATGAGTAACTACTGAAGTAGTAAAGTCTGGGGTATTGTGAGTACTGATATCCTCATATTAAAAGTGAATTCATTCCATACGTGATTGAATTCCTATATAGGGCTTATAAAACCTTGAAGGCAAGCCTTGATGCTCACAGGTCGCATGAACTATTTATCGTATGAATTGTATGTCTAGTTGATGTAATATTGGCTTGGGTCTTTTCCACCATGTGCGAAGTGGGAGATGTAAGTTTTTGGGATCGTGGGTCGCCCATGTGAACCGACCCGATCCAATCTTACCCGACCCATAAATAAAGGATTATCTGGTTTTTTAAATAAAGGATGAACAATTGTGTTATAACTGTTCAACCTTATCCTTAAAAGGAGGGGGAACGGTTATAACTGTTCAAATTCTTTTTAAAAAGGAGAGGGAACAATTATATGATAACTGCTCAACCTCTCCTAATAAAAAAGGGGGAAGCCTTCTACTTCAAAAGTGAGAGCACGAGAGACATTACGTAGAAAACAAAAAGGAAAAATCAGAAAGAAGGAAAAACAATCCCGACTTTCTAGATTACATCATCACACTAAAAGACATTTAGTTTGTGAACTTTAACCTTGATTTCCTAGTGAAATCAAAGGAGACTTGGGGCAGATTCTTTTGGTGGCAACAACAACAATATCCGCTGCGAATTTAAGGTACACAATCCGTTGTTTTTGCTCCGAATTATATTACAATATTTTTTAGCCAAACAAATTTTATGATTTGTATTAGATCATAAGTTCTACAGGTCTTCCTTCATTTTTTAAATTCGATGTCCAATCAAACACCTTCACATATTATATTCCAAATCTATAACTACATATTTTTTAGATCAGTTTCAGCATCTAAAAGTTTTTTTAACACTTGATAGTTGATACCAGTGGCGGACCCAGGATTTTGTGCAAGCGGGTTCAATTTTAGAAGTATATAACTTTAGTCGTAAAATAGTAGTTATCAAGTGGGTTCAAATAAAATATTTATACAAAATTTACACAGTTTTAATTCTAATTTATACATATACACAGTATTAGTTTTTGACGAAGCGGGTTCAATTTTAGAAGTATATAACTTTAGTCGTAAAATAGTAGTTATCAAGTGGGTTCAAATAAAATATTTATACAAAATTTACACAGTTTTAATTCTAATTTATACATATACACAGTATTAGTTTTTGACGAAGCGGGTTCAATTAAACCCGCTAGCCACCACCTGGGTCCGCCACCGGTTGATACTACCTAAAAGTTTTTTTAACACTTGATAGTTGATACCTATCAACCACGTTTAAATAAATAATCCAAACCAACTCTCATATGTTTAACATGACTTTTTCATTATTATTTTTCTTTTTCAAACCTGTTGTGAATTATTTTTTTTGAACCGATAATTTATCGAGAACAATATTTTTATCTCCATTAAAATAAAGTTAAAGCATGCGTTTAAGTTACTCTTCCCGAACCCCCCACATAATGAGACACAATGCGTGTGTTGTTGTAAATATTTTCACCTGTCTTCTCAATTTTCATGTTAAAAGGTTCGGTGAAATTTTATTTATTTTTAATTTTTAATGTGGAACATGAGATTGGGCTTATTTCAGTTAAAAGCCCAAGGCCTAAAACAGAAAGCCCAGGCCTTTCATTTTATTATAGGGCAGCAATAAGAACCCAAAGTCATTCCATTTCACTTCCTCATCGCTACAAAACCCTAAACGCCGGCTGCAGGTATTTCAATCTCTTCTTTTGCTCCTTTTCGTGCATTTATTTTTACTGTAAAATCGTGAAATTTTGTGATAAACTCTTTTGAATTTTGTTCTTTTTCTTAACTCTCTGCAGTTGTTTGTGAAATCAAGGACCAAAAATGGCCAAGTCGAAGAACCACACAGCTCACAATCAGTCGTACAAGGCTCACAGGAATGGAATCAAGAAACCCAGGAAACACCGTCATAGCTCCACCAAAGGGGTATGTATAAATAATACCCACCTTTTTTTTTTTACTTTTATTTACTGATGTTGTTTTTCGTGAAAATTATTCCCTTTGTTCCAATTTATTTGAAACTTTTAGCTTACTTAGAGTTAATTTGACTAACTATCACAGCTAAATCGGGATAGATTTTTTAATTTTAAACTGAAATATGGGTATTTTGGAACTGTAGCAAATTTTTTCATTTCAAAATATTTGGAATTTATTTTTGAATGTTGGTAAGCAAAGCGTGCGAAGCATTTTGGGACTGATGATGTATGTGGATGTCTATGTTATAAAAGCCAAAGCACATAACTAAACAAAAAAGACGGGTTCGAGTTAGATTAATATCAGCATTAAATATTGGATGCTGAAATTAGTTATTTTAATTAATATATTATTGTTCTAAGCTATGTTGCTCGTACTCTCCGAGAATGTCGATGGGTGCGTGTTGGATCCTCCAAAAATAGTGTATTTTCGGAGGATCCAACACGGGTACGGCAGCTGATTTGAAAAGTCCGCTCAACTTAGGTTCTAAGTTCATGTAGTTTTTGGTATTTTTTTAAATTTATCTTAAGTATGTGTTTCCACGTGCAGACCTAGCTTGGAAGTTAGGGGTCACCCGAACCCGTTAGCTTTTGCCCAGATTCTGTATGTGTTAAGAAATTAACTAAATATTTATAAATATTTGATTGTGAATCAATTTTTTGTTTTATATTAACTTGTGGTCGTGGTAAGAACCTGTGTTGTCAAAGGCATGCTTAAATCGTTTAAGCACTAGCGCGAGGTACAAAACATGTTGAGCGCTTTGCCTCGCTTAGCGGGCTCTTCAGTGTCTGTATATTTGTTATTCATGTTTATAATTATTAGAGTTAGACCACCACATACATTTGTTTTTTTCTTCATTTGTGCCTTTATTCATCAAAGCCGATGCTTTATTTGCTTTAGAGCTCTACGCTTAAAGCGGAATCTGCCTCTGTCAGTGCTTCACTTCTCTTTTTGCTTTAAGCCTCATGGACCTAGTTTTTTTTTTTGTCCTTTTTACTTGTAAAAACACCTGAGCCTAGTTTCTATTGGAAATAGCCTCTCTATTCTCACAAGGTAGGGTTAATGTCTGCGTACCCACTACCCTCCCTAGACCCCACATGGATAATACTGGGTATGTTGTTTTACTTATAAAACACCGGTCGATATCTTGATGTAACGATGTAAAAGCATATCTCGTTGTATTCTAAGTTTGTTAATTTTTGTGTAAATGCAGATGGATCCCAAGTTCTTGAGGAACCAGAGGTATGCTAGGAAGCACAACAACAACAAGAACGTCGAATCTGCTAGTGAAGAGTAAAAACAATTAGAGTAATAGGCCTTTTGATTATTGCTGGTACTGTAATTTGATTTTGGGAACTTAATCTTGGTTGTTTTGAAATTATGGTCGCAACTTATTGGAACTAGTATTTTATCAAGTATGGAGACCAACTTTTCCTTTTAATCAATGCCTCTTTCCAATTCATTCTTATTATCACTCACAAAATCCTATTTTTTTGTTTCACGTTCGATCTGGATATTTTTATTTAGTTTTTTTGCTTAGTTATATTATCACAGTGATGGAATGGTCTAATTGGCAAAAAAAAAACCACTATTTGATCATATAGTGTGAAGTGTTTGAGTCCTGCAGACTCAAGTTCGTTCAATTGGCCTTGTGATTTGTCACCTCCACAATTACAACTTGAGATGTTGATCTAAACTTACGAACGCAAGTTTTACTGGATTAGTTAATAGTACTAATGAACTTGCTTCAAGAGTCGCCTTTATGTAATTTTTCAATCTACTACAACAACAAACAAATCCGGTGTATTTTCATGCACTTTACCTCTACTTTATAGAGATAGAGAGGCTAGAAGCTGTTTCCGATATACTCTTGGCTCAAGGTGTTTCCGATATACTCTCGGCTCAAGGAACAATGGATTTCAATCTACGGAATCTAATTGTAACATGAGCCATGTGAAAGCAAATGTAACCCCTGAATCACTTGTTCTGGAAATGAGCAGAAGGAAGAAAAATGAAGAAAACTGCAGCAGGAAAGATGGTCATTTCAGTAATTTATTAGAGCTGCACTTGATAAAAAGGAAGATGGAAAAATAATACACACAGTCCATCCAAAGCATAAACCAATAGAGGGATTGCCCATGGGCAATCCCTGTACATTTTAGGACTCCCAATGCAAAATACAACCTAAAATGATTGGTGAAAGGTTTAAAATATGAGGACAGGCTCTTGGGTGCAGCAGCAGTTTGAATGTTGATTTGCACCTCATCTTATTGTCATTCCTAGGCCTTGCGCAATATCCTGGAATCAGTATATCTACTCCCATGGAAATCCATTGGCGCTCCTGAAATGCAACGATCTATCCGAATCTATCCTTATCCCCTTTCTATGTTTTATGGAAGATGAGCTCTGGCTTAAACCCGCAATGCAGTTGTTTCCTCAAAAATTCCCGACTTCACAACTCTAGATAGCAATTGGTTCACGCACTGAGCTATGGTCTTGAGTGTTTACCTTGTGGAACAAGATTCCAATTCCATTAGCTAATGTAGGCCGAAAAGTTATTAATTTATCAAGTTTAAATATACGATAAAGTCTGAATTTCTTACTCGCCCTGGCGAAAGTTCCTAGAAACAAAAGGAAACCATTACCCAGATTTTTCAGATGGCTTACCTTAGCTGATTTGAATAGTTCATCAAGTACTTCAGACAATGTTGGATGTGCATGCACTGCAAACTTTATATCCTGTCAGATGACAGAAATAAAACTAGTCAACATTCTCTTGCTTTGGCACGTAAACTCTCATAAGATTGATAAACAAAGCAAGTAGTGGCTTATTTCCCGCTGAACGGATAACTGTAGATTCTAGATATATTTCCTCCCAGAAAACAAAATTAAAAAGAAGAGAACGGACGTGAGCACTAGAACTGTCTCCCAACAGAGGGAATAGATAAACTTTCTCAGAGATAAATTATTTAGTAGTAGCCTCGTGTAATGGATAACCTGAATTCTTGTTCCCAATGCCATGGCGTTCGATGCTTCATGAATGAGGTCTGCAGCATGCATACCAAAGATATGAACTCCAAGAATCTCCCCCGTGTCCGGTCTGTATATCAACTGTATCAAATAAGCAGTAAAGAAGTCAGAAAATCTCAAATCCGAAATAATCTTAATCACAATATAGAAGACTGTCTTACCATTTCTCAAAAAAAAAAAAAGAAAAAAAAAAGAATAAAGAATATAGAAGATTGATGACAAATGGATCTGCAAGTTAGACGATATACCTATTGAATCAAAAAATATGCCTCCTAGATTATAATATAACCAAATCTCTAGCCATATCAACTTTGTTGAACACGTGGAATCTCACTATCTCAGGTATTTTGTCTTCTGATGTTTGAAATCCTTAATTAGAATTAGTTAGCTGATGAAATGATGCTTCAGATAGCAATAGTATGCAGCTTTTTGCTAGTCATATCATGTAAAAGGGAAGGTAGCAAGAGTCGCAAATCAGAACCATATCGGAAGCTAGCGGAGTTCATCTCTTCGTGAAAATGATGGAAAGAAATAATCAAAAGAGTGAGTAGAACCTTTGCAAGTCCTTCCCCTTCATTTTCTGCAAGTGCTTTTGTGTTGGCCTTAAAACTTGTTTTTGCAATGCTTATCTCAAACCCGTCCTTTTCAGCTTTCTCTCGAGCTTGTGGCTGCAAAAGAAGTCAGTAAAAAACCTAATTATAACAGTTTGCTACAATAGTTCTCCTCACCAACCATGGCAAATAGTTAGCATCCTCTGCCAATGCTTAACAAACACCCAGAGACAATTAGAAGCATAACATGATGTGGTGTTTGCGAAGGAACTTGAACATAACAGAGTACTACCAACACAGAGACAGCAAAATTTAAGTGGCAGAGAGTTAAATGTTGACACAACAAGCTGATTTACAAGAAAAGTATTTTTTTGGAAAATAAAATGACTACATCCTGAAGAAAGAGGCTTCAAGTTATGGCATTTACCTCTACCTGTCATGATAGATTAACTGTTTGTGCAGCATATAAGCCGTACACAATGCATTTTTCTTATTAAGCAACTTCAAAGGCAAAATGAAACCACCCTCACCCCCCCACCCCAAAAGCCCGATTCCAGAATGTCTACTCAATATCATGGGCATTTGAGACGAAATGCATATTAGCAATGATGTACCCGGTTGAGAGAAGTTCGGTTTTCACCTCAGTCAACCCAACCATGCTGATTTCAGGATGAGTAAAACAAGCAGCTGGAATGCTCAAATGATTAAGCACGTGATCTCTTCCAGAGACTTGTTCGACAACTATTTCATAAGAAAAGATCGTTGTGAGTTGTAACATGATATTAACTTTGAAGGAACACATTTGACTTGTACAGAAGATATTAGTAACAGGATTCCATACACACCAGATATTCCCTGAGCACTAGCTGCATGAGCAAGCATCATTTTACCATTTGCATCACCAATGCAATAAAGGTGAGGGACCTAGTCGTAAAAGTATTATAAGAACAACATCAACAGCCATGTGAAAGCATATCAACAATAGGGTAGTTCCAACGTACTAATTTTCCATCAGCATCAATAACTCGCATGCGCTCATCGACTGGAATAAAACCTCGTTGTGTCAACACATTAATCTGCAAAAGTTTGACCATGAGAATGCATAAAATCCGGGCATAAGATGTAGACTCTTGTATGTGTTTTGATGCAAAGACGTACATTATCCAGTCCAAGACCATTCGTGAAGGGAGCTCTACCAGTCGCAATTAGAGCTGCATCAACCTATAAAAAGAAAACAGCGGTCACTCACTCTTGAATTCAAAAACCTGCAAATTAATTAAAGGATCACAATTCCGTTTTAAGTCCTCGGGATTTATGAAGAAGTCACAAAATGATAGGAAACAGTCGAACCAAATAAATGATTTATGTCATTGCATGTAACGAACCGACCGGTCGTTTTGAGAATTAGCATTCTGTTCGGTGGCTTAAGGTCTCAAGAAACTTCATATTGTGTATCATGACTTGCGTGTGTGGACGGGTTCGGTTTTCGGATGATTCGGGATTGATTTGGAAGAATGATTCTTGTTTTAGAAACTTAAGTGGCAAGACTTGACCGGAGTTTGACTTTTGTGTAGACGACTCTGGAATGGTCTTTTGATGATTCCAATAGCTTCGTATGGTGATTTTGGACTTAGGCGTGTGTCCGGATTTGGATTTGGAGACCCGTAGGTTGATTTGATGCATTTTGGCGAAAGTTGGAAAGTCAAAGGTTTGGAAAGTTGAGAGGTTTGACAGGGAGTTGACTTTATTGATATCGGGTTCGGATTTCGATTCCGGGAGTTGGTATAGCTCCGTTGTGTCATTTGAGACTTGCATGCAAAATTTGACGTCATTCCGAGTTGATTTGATATGATTCGGCGCGAGTTGTAGAAGTTGAAAGTTCATAAGTTCATTAAGTTCGATTTGAGGTGCGATTCGTAGTTTTGATGTGATTTGAGGCCTCGAGCAGGTCCGCGTTATGTTTTGGGACTTATTGGTATGTTCGGACGGGGTCCCGAGGGGCTCGGGTGAGTTTCGAATAGGTTTGGGTTGTGTTGCGCTCGTTTTTTATGTTTCAGCGTCGTTTCTTCAAGCATAAATGGTACCACATTAAGCAAATGAGCTCCAATTTCTGTTTTTATTGAAGCATTAGATCCGTATCGTAATTACGGAGCCACAACAAAAAGAATCGTCGAATTTAGACATCGTAGGAGTAAGTTATGCTCATTTTAGTGTCGGAGAAGAGAGCTGGTGCTGGTGCTTCACAGATGCGAAGTTGGATCCGCATCTGCGACCCCGCAGGTGCGAAAAATGGTTCGCAAAAGCGGAAATGACAGCTGAAAATGTGTGCGGCCTTTTGGGCGCAAAAGCGAAAATGCTTGTGTATAAAAAGATCAGACTGTGTTCTTTTGGTATTTTGAGCATATCTTGAGTTCTAGAGCTCCGATTGAGGTAATTTTCGCGGCGTTCTTCTCGTATTTTCATAGGGGTCAGTATCTAATCTTAATTTTTGTATTTTAACATGATTCCAGTAGTTAATTTGTGAATTAATACATGTTTTGATTGGAGAATTGAAGGTTTTTATCAAAAACTTTTCTAAAGAGAATAATTGAGTTTTGAACATCGATTCGGAGTCGGAATTGGATGAAATTAGTATGGTTGGACTCGTAATTGAATGGATATTCGGATTTTGTAAATTTTATCGGGTTTCGAGGTGCGGGCCCAGAGTTGACTTTTAGTTTTCATTAAAGATCGAAACTTTATTATCCGGAATTGTTTCCTATGGTTGTTATTTATGATATTAAGTTATTTTGGCTAGATTTGAGCCATACGGAGATTGTTTCACACGAGAAGATTATTTTAGAGTATCGGTTTAGATTCTTTGAAGTAGGTATCTTGCCTAACTTTGTGTGGGGGAACTACCCTTAGGATTCGAGTCGTTTGTGCTATTTGTGTCATGTGAAAGCCGTGTACGCGAGGTGACGAGTACGTAGTCGGGCTTATATGTGAAAATTGGCCGGTTTAGACTCTTAGGCTTCATTCATGTATTAATTTGGAATTGCTAGCACATGTTGTATCTTTTATTCGTCATGTCTATTATCACATGCTTTATTTGAAGTTGTCGTTACATGTCACATTCTTTACTTGTCGAGTTTGCTCTTATATGCTTTATATGAAGTTGTTATCACTTTTATCATTATGTGATTTCTTTTATTGTGGAGTTATTCTTAGTTGAAGTTGTTGTACATGATATCGCTTTTGTTGCCAAGTTATTCTCACGCATTTAGATGTAGTACTAGTTCATACCATCTGTTTCATTGTTAGCCTAATTCATACACTAGGAGTCGAAGTTTGTCATTTCATGGAAATACTTTCACTATTGAGTTTATCCTTAAACAATTAATTGGAATTGAGGTTATCCAAAGTCATTAATCGATTTTAATTGAAGTTGTGTAAAAAAGGGGGTGTCGTTCCTTGTTGAGTTACTTTCTCATTCCAGTTGTTGTTATTAATATTTTATACACATTGTATTTGAGCCGTGGGCTATTTGTTGTGGAAATATTGATATTGTTGGATCTTTGGAAATGTTATGGCCTATGGGCACTTGTGTTACGAGTTGATACGTCGTGTTGTTGTGATGTTAGCATTGTGAATTGTTGTGTGGTTTTGGTTGTTGTTATGCGGAGTATAAGGGTGGCATTTCACCGTTGTTGTTATGCGGAGTATAAGGGTGGCATTTCACCGTCGTTATGCGGAGTATAAGAGTGGCATTTCACCGTTGTTATGCGGAGCATAAATGTGACATTTCACCGTTGTTGAATGTACGGAGTGATAAGGGTGGCTATTGTGTTATTGTCCGGGCGGAATGATAAGGGTGGCTATTATACGGAGTGATACACATGGCTATCGGAGAAATAAATGTAGTAAATGTTATTGTCAGGGCGGAGTGATAAGGGTGGCTATTACACGAAGAGATACAGGTGGCTATCAGAGAGATAAGGATGGCTATGTCAGGGATGATGTGTGATGGTTTGGAGACATTATGTTGGTGATTTTCGTATGATGGTGTGCTTTTCCTTATGTTTGTCATACACCTTACTTGACTTGCTTTGTTGTTTCGATGAGCTACTCGATGTCTTTGATATTACTTGTTGACTTGGGTTGCAGTAGTGCACTCGCACAAGCATACACCGTAGCATGCCACTTATACTAGCTCAGGAGTATGAAACTTGACATTTATTGATCATGCCCATGTGTTCTTGTATTATCTGTTTCCATGTTGATATTGAGCCTGCGACCATGCCGAGCGGATTGTGATTGTGAGCTTGTGACCATGCTAAGCGGATTGTGATTGTGAGCTTGTGATCATGCCGGGCGAATTGTGATTGTGAGCTTGTGATCATGCCGGGCGAATTGTGATTGTGAGCCTGTGACTACGTCGGGCGGATTGTGAATGTGAGCTTGTGATCATGCTGGGCGGATTGAGATATTGGCACGTGAGTTGTCCGTGCGGTTGTGATTCAAGATGTGGGCATGAGGTGCCGTGAGTACATGATGGTGGGTTGAGACCCGTGACTTGTGACTATGAGATGAGGTATCACGGGATGATTTCGTTGTGAATCTTGTGTTAGCACGACTTGATTAATTGATTGTCCTCTATGTTCCTTATTAGGTTTCAACGATACTTATCGGTGTTCTTGTTGCTTTACTATTTATATCACATGTTGATTTTGTTGTCATTTACTGATTTCTGCTTTCCATTATTAGCTTTATCTTCTATACTGCACATGTTACTTTGTCTAGTGAGTGTCTTGACTTGTACTTCGTCACTACTCCACCGAGGATAGTCTTAATACTTATTGGGTACCAACCGTGGTGTACTCATACTACACTTCTGCACATTTTTGTGCAGATTCAGGTACTTCGGAGTCTGTGGATTGTTAGATAGCGGATCAGATATTACTGTGGAGACTTCAAGGTATACCTGTCGTCGCGTTCGCAGGCCTCAGAGTCACCTTCGAAAGCTATTTGTGTACTGTTTATTTCTAATCCGGAACAATTGTACTTAGAGATTTTCTAGCGAACTCAATAGAGCTTATGACTTGTACTACCGATTTTGGGATTGTTGGCTTTGTATAGAAATTTCTGTTTCATATTTAATAGTTGTTGGTTGAATTTTGCCATTTATTCAGTAAGTGTTAGGCTTGCCATCACGACATCCTACGCAGTGAAATTGGGGTCGTGACATTGCATTACTTCATTTTTTTGCGAGGAACAATTATAAACCTATAGCAATATATCCACCAGACAAGATTTTGTGAAATGCATGTACCTGTTCTAATAAAAACCAAAAAGAAAAGCATAATAATATTGCATTACCTCCAAAATTTCCTTCAGTTCTTTGGTCTTGGCATCAGTTAGCTCAATAACAACTGGTCTCCCATCTTTTGCTGGGGTGATCTTTACAAATTATTAGGGAAGATAGTTTAGATATTCGGAAACTTGTAGTGGAAGTTACATAAAACAGACTGAGCAATACCTTTGTTGCAAACACTCCAGTATGATAATCAATTTTCCTTGGATTTACGAGAACTCTTTGAGCTAACTTACTAATTTCAGGATCAAATCCGGGCATAAGTTGATCTAAAGCTTCAATAAAGGTAACCTGCGAAAAAAATGACCGTTAGGTGCAAACTGACATTTAAGAGACAACAAGCACAATGCAGGGTTAAACAACTATTAATGCTCAAAAGTCTCTTGGAAATGCTAGAAACTAGAAAGCAAGGTTGAAAATATTTCTCTTAGCAAGCAGAGATGAAGCAAACAGCTTAGGAAAGGGTGAGAGGCTAAGCCATTCTAAACCAAGGATGTAGTAAGATTTGTGTAACTACAACTTTCAAAAGCGAAATGAACATAGAGAAGAAAAACCGATAAAGAAAAGGAACAATACTAAAGAACGGGTTGTAGAGAAAGACGAAAGAGAAAGAGGTGAAACTACCTCACTACCAAGTGCAGTATACACATCACTGAATTCAAGTCCAATATAACCACTTCCTACTATAGCTATCCATTCGGGGACAAATTCCAGTTTGAGAGCATGGTCGCTCGTAATAACAGTCTTCCCTGAAAATGAACAAGAATTAAATGGCTAAATGGTGAGGATTCACCTTCCAAAGGGTACTGCATCTCAAAAGAAGCATATCCCAAGTATCAATTTTCAAGGAATCTCAGAGAACAATGTTGGAAGCAGGAAATAACAAAGAAAAAGATACCATCAACTTCAATGCCTCTGGGAACAAAAGGGACGGAACCAGTAGCGATGATTATATCCCTTGCGGTAACTTCATTGTCAGAAAAACCAACTTTACCGTACTTCACCCTTTGAGGACCCTGAAATAATTATGGAGTTCAAAGACTGAAACCATCAGCATGTAGGTCAAGATTGAAACTAGAGTAAGTACCCTTGGATATTCGTCGACTTACCACTATAGTACCCACTCCTGTCAAAATGTCCACACCAAGTGCCTTCATTGAGTTTGTCAAGTTATTACGAATTTTCAAGGCAAGATTATTAGCATGATCAGCCACTGCTTGCCTGTCATAGCCAGCCGCTGAAACCTGTCATTAGACATGGAAAAAGATTGATCAATCAGCAGACTTGGCCACATTTATGAGGATGTCTAAAAGGAAATATGGTATTTAAGCAAACCGAAGAATGGGGATTGGAAGTGTAGGGTGAACAGACAATATTTGCCAACTTTTAGACTAGTTGTTTAAATTGTGCACCAAGTTTTCCAAGATGACATCCAAATGACATATAGGATGTTATGGAACCATAAGTAACAAACTATTTATATTACCTCGATTTCAATTTATATGATACTTTTTCCCCTTTTCGGACATTCAAAAATGTTTGACATCATTCCACTAGCAATGTTATTCTATACAACTTCCACAATTGCCAGAAGTCAAATTCTTTTAACTTTTCAAATTTAAAACTGGATGTGATGTTTCTCTATCAAACTAACTTTTCTGCCACTATAATATTTTCTTATGCTACAACTAATATGATACATAAATTAAATTAATATCTTAAGCACTATATGTACACAAACACCATCATATAGAATGCAAAAGAAAGATTAGTTTTTTGTCGAAAGTACTTATATATGTGAGGTCGAATATTTAACTACTCGATGCTGCAACACGTCCAAGTCATGCAGAGATATTTAGCATAAGAGTTGAAATCACCTGCAAACCCAAAGCCTTCAAGTGGTGCTCATTCTTAAGTTCCCGCATCCGACCACTTACTGCAAGAAGTGCTTTAGAAGGAACACAGCCTCTGTTTACGCAAGTTCCACCGACTACATCGCCTTCAATGATTGCTGTTTTAAGACCCTTAAAGGATAATACAAATTTCCAGTCGTCAGAGATACAAGAAAACTAACTAGTAACTTTGGATAGCCAATAATAATGCTATTAAAGCAAGTGAAGTGCCAAGAGCATGAGGTTCTCAAAATTAGCTACAAAAGTGCTCTGTGGATTTGAGTTCAAAGAATTTTTTTCAGCTCCTTTAGAATGCAAAAGGCCTTGTTTTTTTAATGAGAATATGAGGCGAATCGTACTAGTCAAAAGAATCCTAATACTAACTAGGATATTACTAAGAACTTTTACCACGCAAAAGATTAGTGATGCCCAACGAACAAAGTTCTAGAAATGTGCAACAAATCTAGAAAAAGCAAAACGAGTTGGACAGAAGTTGCATATTCGAGGTCACCATTATTTTTCATTTCCATTCATGAAACGCCCTGTTAAAAACTATTTAAAAAATTTATGCTCCCTCCGTCTCAATTTGCTTAGCACTTTTCCTTATTGAAAATCAATTTGACTAACTGTTGGAATTGAATCAAACAAGATCAATTTATCTTGAGAAGTTAAAATATAGATATTCAGAAGCTACACGAAATGAGTTGCAATGCTCCTAATATTTGTCGGAGAAACTAGTGGTTATCTCAAAAGGGAGTGTCCCTCATTGATTAGGAAGAGCTCGCCTTTTGTTTTATAAAGAATTGTCCTTCTAGTCGGCTAGTAAAGAGCAAGAAAAAGTGATTGGGCTCGCGCGCAAGAGTTGCGCCGCAAGGGAAAATGGGTCAGTTTCCCCATGCGCGCAAAATAGATGCGAGGCCTGATCCAAACTACTTCTTGAAGAGCTTGGTGAATCCTAGGGATACGCCTAACTATACTATTCACCATATGGACGGAATATCCTTAAGGACAGTCTGTTCACAAGCCTCATGCTTCGTTCGTACTATTTTCTAGTTTCATTTTCTAACACTAAATTCTTGAGCCGGGGTCTTTCGAAAAAATAACCTCTAGTGGTAAGGTCTGCCCTTTACACTCCTCAGACCCACGATGTGGGAATACACCGGGTATGTTGTTGTTTGTTGTTGTATTTTCTAACACTATAAGAATTATAGTATAAAATAGGGATAAAATATGATAAAGTTATAACAACAGCAGTTCTATACCTTCTCCACAGCATGCAATGCAGCTCCATGGCCACCAACACCAGCACCAATTATAACTACATCATAATCAAACGACGTTGGAGCACTGCCATTGTCAGCTACTGAAGCTGATACAACATTATTCCTCAGAATTCTCACTGAATTCTGAATCTCACATCGTTTAAGCTGCGAAAATGAAAAATTTACTGCAGCCTCTTTCCGCAGTCCACAAAACTGAAGATCCAAAGGCGCAAAAGAAAATTGCTCGAACTGATTGTTTTTGTGTGATCTCTTAAGTACTGAGCAATTAGGAGGAAAAGATAGAGAAATAGATGAATGCATTTCAAAATGAATCTCTAGAATTTTATAATTTGAATCAGAATATAAGTAAAGTTCAGTTCTGAGTTCGTGCAACTAAAACTTTGCAGTGGACATTCAGACTCTGAGAAATAGATAAGTCCAGCGGATAACAATAGTGACGTGGCATGCTACTAAAGTGCACCTTGAGGGATATTTTTCTAAAAATATATTATTTTCGATTATATTGGGATAACAAAAATTCAAAAAAAAAAAAAGGAGGTAGGGGTGACAATCAATTATTAAACTCAGACATTATATTAGAGATTTTATATGTCATGAAAGTATTAATTTCTTTTACTTCTTTTTCTTTTATGAATAAGTATTTTAATATTTCATTTGATGTTCAAATTTTGAAATTTGATTTTTAAAAATACTTATAGCTAGAGATAAGATCTGCCTAAGTACAATTCTTTCTTAACCTTTGTTGTTATTGTTATTATTATACTCATAGCTAAACAAATACTCTATCTGTCTCAAATTATATGTGGTATTTCTTTTTTACACGTCCCTTAAGAAATACTCTCTACGTTCCAGTTATGTGAACCTATTTCCTTTTTGGTCCGTTCCAAAAAAAATAACCCCTTTCAAAATTTGAAAACAATTTAGCTTAAACTTAGAATTCTCCTTTTAATGAGAAGTTTTTATAACCACACAAATACTCTGAGCCCCTTTTTGACTTGTTTAGGATCACAAATTATAAAGTATTCATTTTTTTCTTAAACTCCGTGCCCAGTCAAACAGGTTCACATAAATTGGAACGGATGAAGTATTAATTAGGAAAGGGATTAGACTATTTACCCTTATTTATGTCTTAAAATAAAATCTCTCTTCATTTATTCTATTTATATTTTATTTTCATCTTCAAAAATAATTATTACTAAGCGTAAAAAAGGAAAAAAAAAAATAATTAATTTTGTCTTGAACTTATAAATGACAAATAATATAAGACAACTATTTTTAGTAACAACGATTGATAATATGAGACGGGGGGGAGTACTTCCTACAGTCCACTTTAAGTAAGTTTTTGGTTGTTTTCACACATATTAAGAAATTTACTCTTTCGTATTAATTAATAATGTAATTAGCCATATTAATCTTAATTTGTTCATTGAAAATAGAACAAATACTCCTAGTCTTTTTAATCTAAAGGCAACTTTGAAAAAAAAAGTTAATTCTTTTTTGATATTTAAAAAAAATTAAATAATGTGAATCACAAAAAATAAAAATAAATAAAAAGGTATTTACAAATACTAACATTGAGCAATTATGTGCACTAAAAGTCTTCTGTATTGACGCATTTATGTCCAAACAGGTCAAACTAACCAAAGTGGACTGTTTTTTTGCAACTACTGCTTCGTCCATACTAGATAGAGACCTCGACACATTTTTCCTTTTTATTTTCATTACTTGAAGACCTGAACAGTAGATTTTTCAGTGCCGGTAGCTTTGTGCTTAATTATCTTATTATTTTATCATTATATATATTTTTTATTTATTTACTTCATAAATAAGTTTATAATATAACTATAACAATAAGAATATACTCACTATATTCTCACAGTATAGAGTTTGGAGAGGCTAATGTGTATGCAAATTTTATGCTTATCTTGTAAAGGTGAATATGATTTTTTGATACACATTCGGCTCAAGAAAGCAAATTTCAGTAATTTAAAAAAGAAAAATAGTAGCCATATTGAAAATAATAACAACAAGAATAGTTAACAAGTTTATAATATGAATTAAAAAATTTATCATCTATTTTAAACAGTAAAGAAAGACAAAGATTGAGAAATAGATATTTAAAGTTTAGACATCAAAGGTTTGAGAAATATTGCAAAGTGACTTTTTAAGTAATATAGGCATAAATAAGTGATTTTTTGTGTAACAAATAAAAAAAATTGGTATAACTTAATATCCTTTTTTCTCTCTCTCTCTGGTTTTCCCTCTGCTATGTTCTCAGAATTGCAGGTAAATTCTTCTATCTTCGTCAATTCATTACACCAACAGTTATTCTTGGTACTTACACGTCCATCCCTTTTGAAAATACTGACGTAGATAGCAATTTGCTCTGTTTTTTCTTGAGAGATTCATTTTCAGCTTTCTGCTTCGGTTTTATTCCTTTACACTATTCAACTACAAAACAAGTGTACGTTATTACTAGGTATTTTTCTATTTATTGGTTATGTTTAGATAACGTTGTCTTTTGCTGTATTGATAATCAGCTCAATTCTGGTGATCTAGCTAAAATTTTACTTCATCTGACCCAATTTATTGTGATATATTTTGGTAACTTGCTATATTTAAAAATAATTTAATTTTAAACTTCTCATCTTAGCTTAATAAAATGATTTATACCGATTTAAACATGTGTCCAGTCAGTAATTAATTTTCATTTCTTTCGGGGTTTAAGTTCTGAGTATCGTATTTTGATGTATTATTAGCATGAACAACAACAACAACAAACACAGTGAAATCACACAAGTGGGATCTAGGAGGATAATCTGTACGCAAACCTATCTTATGAAGATAGAGATGCGGTTTCCGATAGACTCTCAGCTCAAGAACAGTGAATGTATTATTAGCATGCTGTAGTGATTTTTTTTTTTTTTTTTTTTATTTTG